GAGATTTGAACAGCCGAACTGCAGATAACAGTCAGCTGAAGTGGCTGCAGTACAGCACTCTAACCACTGCACCACCTTGGCTCTAAACAATTAGAACAATTAGTGCAACAATTTACATCCAGAAGTTGTTGCTCCAAAACGGGAAGTTTTTAAGAAGACAGTGGACAACCATTTGTCTTAAAATGTTTAGGATTTCCTGCCTAAGCAGGGGGTTGGACTAGAAGACCTCCAAGGTCCCTTCCAACTTTTATTCTATTCTGTTCCGTTCCATTCTATTCTGTTTCCCTGAAAATAAGACCTCCCTGGATAATAAGCCCAATCGGGCTTTTGAGCGGGTGCGCTAAAATAAGCCCTCCCCAAAAATATTTAAATGCATGTGCAGGCAGTCCCCACCATTTCCTCTAGTTGCTTGCTGCGCAAACAACATGAATGAGGAGGCGAGGGGGGGGAAAGGGAGTGGAAAGATGCCCCACGCACCCCACACGCCCTTACCTAATGGCCACTCCTGCAATCTTAGCCACTGCGCCCCTTCTGTCACGCTAATGGCCACCGCAAAAAGAGTGGCAGGTCCAGTGATGCCCCTTTAAAGGACTTTAAAATTTTTACAAAAAAAAAAAAGACCACATGATCCATGGCAGCAAATGGGACTGCTTCCCCTTTGCAAAATGGCTGCCTAGCCACATTGTACCATGATAATGAACAAGCAACTGCTTTAAATGGTTTGTGTGTATCCAGTATGCCCTTACTTACTTTACACTGTAATTTTGTTTATAAATTAGAAGTAATACGAGAATAAATGCTGTTTTTAAAATAATGTTTTGTACTGGTCTCACAGGTTTCCGTGTGAAGAAGGGGTCCTTAAGAATGTGGGACATTGCAAAAAATTATTTTCACTGTTAGGGTACATCAACAAAGTTAACAAAACAGAGGAAGAATCTTGCCAAATCAAAATCACTATCCATGTAGCCCAGCATTTTGTGGCTCAACAGGACCCAGATGTGCATTGGGAAGCTCATCAGCAGGGATAGATTACATCAAACTGTTGTTGAATCCTTGAGGTCACAAAAAAAGAAGAAAATCCACACCCCTTTCTTCCTGTATTACATATACTTGCTTTCATCTACTCACTTCTCCATTTTGATGTCATCATATCCCTTTCTCTTCATATCTCTTCATGTGTAGTGTCTGTACGTGTGCATTGATTTCATTCCAGTGACAGAACATGCATTTTCCCAGCAAGCATTCGGATTTTTAATATAGATATATTTATTTATTTATGTTTTTTACATCACTGATCCATTGAAATTTTGATTCACAGAGACAGAATCACAGCAATAGGAAAGGCCTCTATTCCCACAAAAATAGTGTGCGAGGGGGATGCACTTTCCAGACAAGAATAAATAACAAAGATACCAAGTTAGCACTTTAAATTGTCCTTCCCAGATCTCTTGGTGGCAAAGGAATAGATCTCTAGGGAGAAGAGGCTAAAGAATGGGGTGTAATACACAGGAATTGAGCCTCTGCTGCATCCCCCCCCCTCCCAACCTGACAGTTAAGTTGCAAACACAGCTCAAAGCGTCATGTCACAACACAGCTACAACACGCGACTTTGCAGCTATCAGACCATCACGCGTTAAGTGGCACTGTCCCCATGATCTTTCAAAGAAGGGGACAAGAGTAATTGACACAGCTTTAGGGATAAAGGAGAATCACAAAAATAGAGTGGGGAGTTTCTCTCTTTGAGTTATATACAAGGGGGAAAAGGGAGGGGACCAAGTTCTGCTTTTAAGATGTGAGCCCCTTGTGTGTCCATCGGGGATGAAGTTTTATTTCTTCAGTCATCAAAATAGCAAAAGCATCCCTTGGCTATAGTGGCAGTACTATGGCTGTTTTGGGAGAAGAGCAGATAGATTTGATTGGCCAAGTGGGAGGAAGAACAGGAAATGGGCTTGACAAAAACAACTGCATTCTCCACCACAAACTCAAAGCATTGGCCAATTGTCTCTCCTCCATGGCGACTGGGTTCTAAACCAGATTAGCAAAAGGTTTGAGGATAAAGTACCTCATTGGCCCTGCCCAGCACCTTCCTGATGATCAGAAGATGCTGAAGCTTACAGTGTAGTGACAGACTGGGAGTTTTCTGCAGTGCTACTAGGAGGGTAGGGGGGGGGGAACAGTGTGAGGTAGGATGGAAAGGAGGTGTGTGTCTAGATTAAGGCTTGCCGAGTATACGGTTACCAAAACGCATGGGAAGAAAGTTGCACATTGCTGAAGTGGGGGGCGGAACCTGCAGCCAAGGCAACAAGAGTTGGAAGCGGGCAGCTAAGGAGTGGGGGACAATAGGATTGTGCAAAGGGCAAGTGGCAATTGACTGGCTTATTCACAAACAGCAACATAGACATCTTTGTGGCCACAAACACAGACATGGGCCCCAGGAGAAGTCCCCTCCCTCATGCTATGTACAGAGATCCCTGGAGACCCCTCTCCTCTCCCGTTTTTCCCAAGCCTGGGGACCTCTAGGCTGGGAGAAGAGAACCAGGCGTCAAGTTTGCATATTTATATAGAAGAGATGTGGACTTGAGAAATCTGCAGCCTCCAGATGAAAAAGGGAGATCCTGATGGAAGGAAGGAAGGAAGGAAGCTCTCTGATAATCGGCAGGTTTAATTTGCATGGGGATAGTATATTCTGCAGAAATGGATACAAAACAGAGCAAAAAAAAAAATAGGTTCTCAGAACAAAGGATAGGGGCAGAGGGAAGATTTAGGATTTTAAAGGAACATAAACACACCCTTCTGCCCAGAACATTGTGTAGTTCCTATTTCATTTAGGGCAGAGAAGGTTGTGTTTTGATGTGTGCACACACACACACACACACACACACACACAAACGTATTTGTCTGTCTGTCACACATACATGTATATGTCTGTCTGTCACACACACATGTATATGTCTGTCTGTTTGTCTCTCTCTCGCTCTCCAGATAATTGCTCTGTACAGATAATTTCTTCAATATACAGTAAGCCACCCAGAGTCACATGTGTGAAATGCGCAGCTGTATAAATCTAATAAATAATTACAAATTAATTTTAAACCAAACCATCCGTCTTTACATTCAGAATGACCTCAGGCCTCAAAAGCCTGAGTATTCCAGGGGATTTAATATCAACCCATTTTCTAGCTCTGACCATTTGCAGCAGGTGCCGTAACTTTTACCAGGGATCTCCAGGGATATATGAATCGCTTCCCCCCTTTCCATGGGGTTGGTTGCCATTAATGGAGGGGAGGGGAGGCGAAATTCCTCAAAAGAAAAAAGGTGGGATTAAAAAGAAACAAATAAACCGATTCGTTTTGGAAGAGCGTTCCCATGGGGGGGCAGGGGGGGGGTCGAAGCAGTGAAGGGACACAGGGTTCAGAGTCTCAGAAGGCAGGGAAGGCAGGGATCTAGGCCCGGGGAGGTGAAGGGTCGCAGTACAGAGGGGAAGACTCTCAGTCGGAGAAGAGGCTGGCGAAGCTCTGTCGGAGGCTGCGGATGCTCTCAGCACGCACTTCATCCTGACTAAGGCTGCCCCGCGGCATCGGTGCCTCTGCAAGGGGGAAGGTATTGGTCAGAGACTGGGATTTGCTAAGGAACAGTGAGGGAGGAATTGGGGGGGGGCAGGAAAGAAGGGAGGGGTAGACGGAGAGGAGAAACGAGAAACACACTATTAAAATCAGGTCAGGCAACAGAACTTGCTTTGTCTGAAATGCTGGGAGAGAAGAAAGGGGAGTTTAGGAAGCACTGCCCTCCTTCTCTAGAGTAGGGTAAGTAAGAAGCAAGCACAAGAGCCGCAAAGGGGGCAAGGCCATTGAGAGGCCTCATCGTTCCCCCCCCCCTCCAGCCCTAATTTAATACTTCAAAGGAGGGCGCATCCAGTAAGGGAAGACTAGGGAAATGATCCTGCAGCAGGAAAACACGAGGGAAGAGGGAAATTCTCAGGCATTTTCTTCTAATTGAAACTCCTCCCGCACCCAACCCTATTCCAATTCTTTTCATTCTGGGTAGATCCTGTTGAATTGAGAGCAGAGGGGCATGAACTCTCTGTGTGATTTTGGCAAGCTTGGGCTGACGAAGAGCTGTAGCAAATCTGGAGATGTTATTCAGCAAAAAGTGCTTTTCTGAAGCCCTGAGTGCTGCGGCCCTTGTACGTAACTGCTTCTCTGTTGTTGTTTTTTTTGGGGGGGGGGAAATCTTCTTGTTGATCTCAACAAAACTGACCTCCCACAACTGCCCAGAACTGGCGAAGCCAATTGAAAGTGAGGGTACTACTTTCTGCTCTCGCTTTCACAGGCGCCACCATTTCATCCCCGTTTCCATGTTGCCCGTGATAAGACGGCCACGGGAAACGCTTGTCACAGGCAGAACGAGGGATGACGATGAAGTACATCTTTCCTAAATTTATGCTAAACCCCTCAGCTTCAAATGTAGCCTGCAAGGTTTGATTTATATACTGCAGTTAGGGGGTTTTAGAGCGGTTTTTTTAATCGTTTTTTTTTTCGATTTTCAACTCAGAAACGTGATATCTTAAAGCGGGGGCAGGGGGATTTGCATCAGAGGTGGGATTCAGCCGGTTCTCTCCAGTTCGGGTAAACCGGTAGCGGCGGGAAGCTCCGCCCACATGCCCTGACGTAACACACACGCTCAATATTTAAATCCCACCTCTGGGTTGCATCCTTTCGAAGGATGACCTTTGTATATGTGGAGAATCAAATAACTTTTTTTTGTTTCAGGAGGATATATATATATATATTGTATAAAAAAGTAGTGTCTAGTTTTAGAGCATTTTTTTTAATCGTTTTTTTTCCGATTTTCAACTCAGAAACGTGATATCTTAAAGCGGGGGCGGGGGGATTTGGACCAGAGGTGGGATTCAGCCGGTTCTCTCCAGTTCGGGTAAACTGGTAGTGGCGGCTGCGGGAAGCTCCGCCCACCTGCCCCGATGTAACACATGCACTCAATATTTAAATCCCACCTCTGGGTTGCATCCTTTCGAAAGATGACCTTTGTATATGTGAAGAATCAAATAACTTTTTTTTTTGTTTCAGGAGGAGTTATATATATATATATATTGTATAAAAAGTAGTGTCTAGTTCTCACAATGGCAAACAAAAGCGAACATAAAAAAGCAAGACAGAAGTGATGATGTCAGTGAAGAACTTCTTATAAGCAAGTGACCTTTCAT